TTTCGGCCCATTGAGTTTACACTAACAAAAACTACTCTAAATCTACGCTAGTTCTACTTTCCAGCACTTGGCCCATAGCCTTGAATATTACTACTTTTTCACTTGCTCATCCATGATCATTCCTGATCAAAACCCTGTTTTCTCAGCCCATGTTGTGAAATTGGTAGCATTTATCGTTACATATAAATCAGAAGTAAAACCTGTTCAAGACAACACCCATCCTACAGGATATCAAACTTGCCCCTAAGGAAAATAAAAATTCTTTGCCATGTCTGAAACTAACGATGAACTTTACATCTTTACTTCCAATTTCCAACAGCCATGGGAATTTGCTTTTGTGTTTAATTGAAAACTTTGAAGTTTTGTTAGTTTTCTGTGACACTTTCAAAATTATAACCAATGATATTGTTATTGCTATTTTTCATCTGCTAAAAGTTGGCTGGAGACATCCTTTTATGTCAATTGCCATTAGGTATTTCTACGTCTGTCTTCAATTTGTGGGAGTTGATTGGTGCTGTTTTGTAACGACTTGGATGGTAGAATTTGATGTTTTCAAATTTAAAATGGTACTGGATCGGAGCAACATTGCTAATTATTGCACCAATTCTGTCAACCAAGTTATACTTAATCCATCAAGATATTCTGTGGTATTGCACCTCAAGAAATTATACCTTAAAAATAAGGAAACGCAATAAAATTTTATGCAACTAATGTATGTTATGTGTGGTTTACACAAATGCATACATAAAAAACTTCATTCTCTGATTAGTTATTACAGTATACACAATTAGATCTGATAATCCAATATCTTGTAATGAGTGAACATTGCTTGTTGAAGTAAGCGGAGAATAGAGTCTGCATGAACAGATGGGTTGGAGTGAAACTGGTTATGTAAATTTTATGAGGCTGGTGAGTCATTAGCTGTTCCTTGAGAATTGTAAAATATCTTATTCCAGATGGCTACTTGTCAACAGAATCGCACTAGTGTTTCCCAAACTATTTTCCAATATTATATTTCCATTTCAACACTTGAAAATTAATGTGACCCCCAGATACCAACAAAACTAAAACAGCAGTAAAATAACAAGTAATATTCTGTACAAAGCAAAGAATTATAGATCAATATTTTTCACGTCATACAAATATTAAAATAAATGTATCAAAAGCATTTTGTAAAACATTATTCATCAGTCCATTACTTCATCTGAGCTGCTCTGGTTCACGGACCTTGGTCAGGAAGTAGTGAGGGTGTAGAGTGAATGTCTTGAGGTTTCTGAATTTGGAGTTCCAGGTTGTCCTGCAGTGCCAGGTTGATAGGCACGGTCTCAGACAGGTACAAGTGCAGTAGCATAGCCATTGCCACTGGATTCAGAGAAATGGCTTTGAAAGGGAGTCCGAGCAGGGAAAGCATACGACCAGCAGCAGCTCAGCCTCAGTGCTAGTCTATGGCACAGTCTCAGAGGAAGGCATTTGATGTTTCAGCAACCTGCTCTTTAGAGACTGCTACAGTAAGGGCAGGTAGTGATTCATACAATTTATTACTTAAAAGGAAAGTATTGCCAATGGTACCTGACAACAGGGAAAAAATTCTATTTTCACCTTCATAGGAATGTAAAACAAAAATATCACCTGTCCTCTTTCAGTAATTGTCATGATGTTCACAGTATATTGAGAATAAATGTATGTTCCGAAGAACTGTATCAGACTTGAAAAGTTAGCTCTGTTTCCCTCTGCTGCCAGATCTGCTGAGTTTCCACAGCATTCGCTGTGTTTGTTTGTTTCAGATTTCCAGCATATGCAACATTTTCTTTTCTTTGTATATACCTACTGTTCTGGTGTTGAGAGAATAAAACAGTTTCAATTCCTAGCCTATAAAGATTTATCAATCTTATCCAGTGTAGCACTAGAGATGTTGAAATTGGTCACCATAGCCATCACAAAGTGCATGCTGTGTATATCTGTAGATGATCAGGTTAAAGACAGATGGAGTTACTGTATGGATTCCCTTTCCTTGATCGTAAAATAGTTTATGTGCACTAATGAACTAGGTTCACATATGAGAAAGAGCTAATTGGAATAAATTGTCGCCAGTCACTTTTAGCGAATTGGACTGATGGAGAAGATGTAATTTATTTCTAAACAGTATACAGCGGGGTAAGTTAAAACAAGGTGCCATCTGGAGGCATGCAGGAATGGCAATGTATACTGCAAGGCCAATTCTTGGTTAACTATTTCAGATGCAGTTAAGCCTTCATTTTCTGTTTTTTTTTTCATTTTTTTCATTTCTTTTCATTTCTGTTGTTTCTTAGATAATTTAAGCTTCATGGGTCTTGTGTAGATATTCTTTTTACTAGGCATCACTTAATGTTTCTGCAACATTTTTTGATTTGGTGTCCTTTTAATGTCTTTTAATATTTACAATAGAGGAATGATGTCCTGCAGATATTCTCTTTTGTTCACCAATTTAAACACCAACTGACCTCCCACAACGTTGCTTGTGAAATGCCTGGGATCTAGAGATTTGTTGCGATGTTTAACCATGGATAAGCCAGCTTGTCTCAACTGCGCATTCTTCTACAAACAGATCCACACCAAACTTAATGTTAGCTCTCTTTTTAAGAGGGCTTTCTGTATATTGGTCTGGCTCTTTAGAAGACACCCAGTTATCAAGCTGAGTAAAGAAATCTTAAATGATTGCTTTAAAAAAATCATTTTGTTTAGATTCTTTGAAGTGTCATGTGCATGCATTATCTGCAAATATTACATATGCACATGAGCATAAATCTTCAGAACCATTACTGGAAAGTTGTCAGGGCCCATAGCCTTTGCAGTATCCAGTGCCTCCAACCATTTCTTGATGTCACATGGAATGATTTGCATTGTTTTATTTAGCTGCTTGTGTATTTTTAAGGCCAATTAGGAGTCAGTAATTTACTTGTAATTTTTAATCACCAGGTAAGAATGTCCTGTCAAAATGAGGAAGTACCAGAATAAATTGCCTGGATTTCTCTCTGCTTTATTTCCACTGCTGTCTTCCCCAGATTAAAGCAGTGTGATTCATGTGTGTGCCATTGGATTATTGACAATTTCTCATAGATCTCCTGTGACATTGCCCACAGTAAGTCACAATAATGTCTTGTGTACCCAGGAGTGTTATGCCACATGTCCTTCATATATAATTGCCGATAGAAAACCACAGCCTTTGCTTGGAATCTATTTGCGAGCAGATTGCAATGTTCTTAACAGTTTCAAGCTATGACTTGGAAGAAAACTCTTTAAATTAGTTTGCAGCTGAAGTGAGGTGTCATATTTGCACACTCAAGGGCTGTTAACTGTATGCGTATATCTATGTATCTAGGCCTGGAAAGTGTTTGTGATCAAATGATAGTGGAGATAACTACTCATGGAGACAAAAACTGGCAGTAGACTGATGCAATGGAATTTCAGAAACCTGGTTTGCAGAGTCATCTGATGGCCATAACCTTTGACGATGTTGGTACATTAACATTGGGAAATTAGACAGAAAATGTGGACACAGAAACTAGTTGTCCGATGTATAAATGTGACCAAATGGTGTAACAACAGCAAGTAACATCAGTTAGGCAAGAAACGTCTATATTTCCGGGTCTCATGTGATATTGTTTTTGGCAAATTAAAGGGTACAGCTTTATACCAATAAGTCCCAGGGATAGGTCCATAATTTATGACAATTCTGGGTGGGATGCCCCTAAATGATAATGGTTCCAGGTGACGAGGGTTGAATTGGTTCATCCTTTAAATTCAACACCTCTCTCTGTTGGTAGGTTAATTTAGAAAGGATCCTTTCTGTCATGGACACCTCTTCCTAGTTCAAATGCATCTATGTTTTGAAAGGAATCAAATTAGCCGGGCTTTCTTGAGCTAGAGAAAATCTGAGTTTATTCACTAATAAATGTGAGAAAAGATACTAAGATGTGACACAGATTAGAAATGTGAATTGAGTGAAAAGATAAGAGTTAAAAAGGTTGACGAACCAGCCTCTGAGTTCTGCGAAGAGTAAGTGGTGGAACGTGGTAGCTTTTAATTGGTTGAATTCAGAAATGTTAACTTAGATAAGGAAGCAGTGAATTGGAGACTCTTGGCTTCACACATCAGCTGACAGGCTTCTGTCTTCTATCCTTCCCAACAGTGACTTCACTCACTCACCTGGCTACCAACTCTTAGCGTAGGAGGGTGTCTAATGATTGTCCTCAAACTGTGACTTTTACGACATGCTAGTCCACACACATAGCCTGGGGCTGTATTTGGTTATTGACTCCTTTCTTTCTAGATTCCTGGAAGGTAAAGCACAAACATGTCTGCAGTTTGGGATGCAATCAACAGAAGATGATTTTCTGCTGATAGGGGTAGAGTAATCAGCCTCTTGGTTAACTCTGTGGCTGAAGTAGATCACAGTCCTGTTTGTTTTGATTTGCATCTTTCCTTTTGAAGAGTTGCTATTTGAAGTTCCCTTAGTACCTTTACAGGTGTGGCATTCCATGGCTACTTTCAGGGCTTTGCTACCACACCTTGTCTATATGTCCTCTTTTAAAAAAAAACAGATGCATTGAATTTAGAACTTCAATCTGTCCATAAGTAATCTGAGGTTATGATCTGTTGTCATGATGACAAGAAAAATACAATTGTCATGGGGAATGCAAATACGAATTTATTGGTTTCTTGGCTGCCCTGGTCTGAAAAAATATCCTTGATAGGTGTGGCAATATAAACACAAAAGAATATAGGAACAGATCTAGGCCATTCAGACCCTTGGGCCTGTTCCATTGTATAAATATATATGCACATAATAAATTGCCATGAACTAAATACTGACCCAGCCAATGCAGCCTACATTTCATGAATGAATTTTTTTTAAAAAAAATCTTTGATTGTTTTTCAACTTTTGTGTGTAATTGATCTAGTATTATCCAAGTAAGAACAACTGACCTTTACACTTTTGTTTAATTATGTTTTTGCTCTAGGTTTCTATGTCTGATCAACAAACATTGGAACAGATGATTTGAATGCTGGCGTACATTTGGTAAGTAGAGTCGAATCAAAAGATTGCATTGTTGACAGAAAAATGAGCAAATTGTTTTTATTGTGTCCTGACAAACTATTGGAAACAGTTAGTACTTTGAACATTTTTTGATATTTGAACTAGATCACTTACTGTTGCTCAAACATAGCTATTTATTATTGATAAATGAATATGAACATTTAGTAAGTTACATATGTCCATTTATATGATCCAACTCTGAAGGCGACTACATGCAGTTAGCCAAAGGCTAAACAGATTTTCTTCTGCGACAGATTGAAAAGTCACAGCTCCTGCCCAGTAGGCATTTCTTCAAAAGTGCTGAAGTTTTCTGTTCACATTCCAGGACATAAAAAGGAACAACAGCAAATGATTCCAAATTTCTGGAACAAATAATCCAAAAATAATACTTCAGATGCCAATCAACACAAGGGATGGCAAAGGCCATTCCTGCCTTGATCTTATTTCAAGAGATTTGGATTCATCAGGCCATTAAAAACGTGGATGTTCATGAGGAATTGGCTTGGCTATCTGCTGAATACCATGTCCTGGCTAGGCATAAGCAGAAACAAAGATTCGGGCAGATGCAGGGTAGGGCTTATGGATGACTGGTTTATTTGGAGGTACTGGTGCCAGTGCTGGACTGGGGTGGACAAAATCAGAAGTCACACGATGCCAGGTTATAGTCCAACAGGTTTATTTAAAATCACAAGCTTTCAGTGTGCTGCTCTTTCGCACCTGACAGTGATGTCTGGCTTGATTTATGATGTGCTTTTGACTAAGTCAAAATATCACCTCTGGTGAGCCTGCTATTCGCTATTATATCCCTCCTGGGTTATATCTAGCAGCTCGGCACCAATTCCAGGACTGAGATGAGGAAAATTTCTTTTTACTCAGAGGGTTGTAAATCTTTGGAATTCCCTACCACAGAAGACTGTGGAAGCTCAGTCTTTTGAGTCTGTTTAAATTAGAGATCAATAAATTTTTGATTATTCGTGGCATTAGAGTGTTATGGGAATAGTGTGGGTAAAAGGCATTGAAGTGATCAAGCAACCACGATTGTGTTAAATAGTGGCACAGGATCGATGGGCTGAATGGCCCGCTACTGTTCCTATGTCCTAGGTCCCAATGAGAGCTGTTGATTAGTGCACCCAAACAGGGTGGTTTAAGGAGTATGTCCCCCTAATTGTTTTCTTCAACTGCAGGCCTCCAAGGCTCATTGGTTAAGGAATCACTAGATTTGTCTGTAACATTCCTCTTGGTCTTAGAGTCTGTCAGGACTCACTTTCTACACTCGTTAATTGGTAAGATACTAGAAGCTGGCGACATGGAATCATCGTAAATGAAAGCCTTCAAAAGAGGAGCAGAGACTATTTTGGTATTTGATGCTTTGTATTACCTTAGCACTAATTGGAACACTCTACTGTTTGATGCCTCTTGGGAAGTGTTGATGGTGGCCAATTACATCATCAGATGTTTACAGGACAAACAGTAACATTGCTGACCAGGATAAAATGACTTTGAAATGACAATGTTAGTTTAAACTGGATTTTTGGAAGTGACAGTAAAGTACTTGAGGCAAAATGAGGTGAAATCAGATTAAAATCATTAAAATCCTTTAATGGACTGTTATCTTAAAAATGCCAGAAATTCAATTGGCAGTCTTCCTTTGAGCCACGGTAGATTTGAAATGTAGGGCAAAATGATTTCTTTTTGGGATCAGCACAGGAATCATTTCAGTCAAAACCAGAATACAATACTGTGTAATGCAAAGTGTTTTAAAATCAATGTTTTTTCTTCTGGGATCACTAGACATCTGAGATGTAGGTTTCACTGCTGGGTGACAGGTGCTAATGTAATTGTCCACATCAACTGTGTTCATGGTATTCAGTCTCAGTGTAGATTCAAACTTTCATTGACTTTCAGGTGCACAGGGAATAGTTTCTGATAGGATTAGGAAAACTGGATTGAGATGAATGACAGTCTTATTCAATTACTGAGCTGTGTGAATGTACAGGTACACCATGATGACCTGAAATACATTTGTCTGTTGCAGTTATGAAGCCAGATTGAAAGTAAAATAAGATGGAAGTGCAGCTATTTATATTATAACCATATTGAAGAGAATTATGTGAACGTTATTCAAGAAAATATTTGACAACTGACTGAACGTTATTACCATCTTAAGATTTTTTTAATACTGCTTGAGCACACAAAAACCTTTGAGACGATCTTGCTTAGACTAGCTATTTTTATACCTCAGACTGTAACATTACTGTAACAACATTTAACGAAGTTTCATCTGGGAGTTCTTTCTGAATATCATGACATTGCTGGAGGGAACAAATTAAACTCTGTCGTGCTCTTCAATGAGGTCCTGATCATTGACAGTTCTTATCTGTCATGCAGAACTGCTTAAATCAGTTGTATGTTTTCTGAGAGCTCAGCATATCCAAGTTCATAGGAACATATGGATTAGAAGCAGATGGAGACAGTTCAGCCACTTCAACAATTCAATAAATTCAGCTCTGATGAAGAGTTATCTAGACTCAAAACGATAGCTTTCTCTCCCATTGTGGATGCTGCCTGATCCACTTTGATCTTCCACATTTTTTGCTTTCAGTACAGATTCTAGCATCTGCAGTAATTTGGTCCCTCAATAAATTCATGGCTGATCTGATTACTGCACATTCCCATCTATCCCTGAGAACCTTTCACCCGCTTCACTCAGCAAGAATTTATCTGCCCATCTATTAAGCTCTGATTTAAATATTTGATTGAGTCAATAAATTAAGATCATATCAATCGCTAAAAGTACTAAAATAACACACATGTAAACGTTAAGCATATACTGTCTATTTGCTCAATATAAGTGTCTTGTAAATAATTCTCTAAATTAACACCAACACTCTCTCCTGTACACTTGTAATATATTTGATAGCTCCTCATGGAGCGTGCCTCACTAGAATCATAGAGTCTTAGAACTGTACAGCACGGAAACAGACCCTTTGGTCCAATTCGTCCATGCTGACCGGATATCCTAGATAAATCTAGTCCCATTTGCCAGCATTTGGCCCATATCCCTCTAAACCCTTCCTATTCATATAGCCATCCAGATGCTTTTTAAATGTTGTAATTGTACCAGTCTCCACCATTTCCTCTGGCAGCTCATTCCATATGCACACCATCCTCTGCGTAAAAATAGTTGCCCCTTAAGTTCCTTCTAAATTTTTTCCCTCTTACCTTAAACCTATGCTCTCTAGTTTTGGACTTGCCCCACCCTTGCCTATTTACCCTATCCATGCCCCTCATGATTTTATAAGCCTCTATAAGGTCACCCCTCAGCCTCTGACACTCCAGGAAATATAGCCCCAGCCTATTCAGCCTCTCCCTGTAGCTCAAACCCTCCAACCCTGGCAACATCTTTGTAAATTTTTTTCTGAACCCTTTCAAGTTTCACAACATCTTTCCTATAGCAGGGAGACCAGAATCGCACATGGTATTCCAAACGTGGCCAACCAATGTCCTGTACAGCCTCAACATGCCCTCCGAACTCCTATACACAATGTACTGTGTTCATGGTATTCAGTCTCAGTGTAGATTCAAACTTTCATTGACTTTCAGGTGCACAGGGAATAGTTTCTGATAGGATTAGGAAAACTGGATTGAGAAGGCAAGCATATCAAATGCCTTCTTCACTATCCTGTCTACCTGCGACTCCACTTTCAAGGAACTATGAACCTGCACTCCAAGGTCTCTTTGTTCAGCAAGACTCCTCAGGACCTTTATAATTAAGTGTATACGTCCTGCCCTGATTTGCCTTTTCAAAATGCAGTACCTCACATTTGTCTAAATTAAACTCCATCTGCCATTCTTCGGCCCATTGGCCCATCTGATCAAGGCCCAGTTGTACTCTGAGGTAACCTTCTTCGCTGTCCACCACACCACCAATTTTGCTGTCATCTGCAAACTTACTAAGCATACCTCCTATAAATGATTATAGCTTCTGCAGTAGTCACCAGATTTGAGGTAAATGATGAAGTGAATGGATGACCAGAATATTTCACACAAGTGTAATTTATATTTTCCATGAAATGCCCATGGTTCAGTTACTCCAGACATTGGGCCATCTCCACAGTTTTATCAAAACTATAAGCTTTATGTGCTTCCTACCTTCTGCAAACTTTAAGTTATCAAAATTCTGCAGCACCTATTCGAACCCGCACCAGAGTCCATTCATCCAACACACCAGTGACCTCTGACCCACGTCTGCTTCTGGTCAAGAAACAACTAGACGTGACCAATCTCAGTTTTATTTTCAAATCACCCCATGGCCTCATCTCTGTCCAAGTCTCTAATGCCCTCTGGCCCCACAACCTTCTGCGATATTGGTCCTTTTCTGATTCTCCCCGGTTGAGCATCCCAGCTCTGAAAGGAGCAAGTGTTGTTATCATGGTACTGTCACTGGATCAAAAACACAGTGTTCCAGACTAATGTTCTGCAGACAGGACTTTGAGTCCCACCAGTGGGGAAACTCAAATTCAATAATAATGTGGAATAAAAAGTTGGCTTCATGGTGATCATATAACCATTGTGAATTGTCATAAAAATCCCAACAGCTTTACTAATGTCCGTGAGGGAAGGGAATGTGCCATTCCTATCTAGTCTGGCTGGTTTATGTGTGTGACTCCAGATCTGCAGCAATGTGCTTGATTCTTACCTGCTCTCTGGGCAATAAATGCTGGCCTAGCCAGTGATGCCCACATCCCATGAATTATTAAAAAACATTGCTCTGATATTGGTCCCCATCCCTCCATCTACGATGATTGTAAGCACTTCAATTTCCTTTGTACCTCTCATCCTATCTTTCCTCTGTTAGGGCCCTCCTTGAAACTTGGCTCTCTGACCAAATCTTTGGCCACCTCCCCTAATTATCTCCTCATGTTGCTTGGTGTCATGTTTGTTTTTATAATGTTCCTGTGAACCATCTTACTACATTCAGGGGGCTATTAAAATACAAGTTTGTTATTGCTGTTTACAGGAGAGTGATACTGATATTAAACCCACAAAGAGAGTAGGAAACATTTAACAGGATAATGCCATCTTTGTGGTGCGAAGGTGAGGAGAATCTTACCATGTTTGTTGCAGTTTGAGTCATGTTGCCATGGCTATGTTACACATGGAATGGTCAGAAGTGATCCATGAAATTTTACTTCAGGTTTCCTGCTCCACCTGAAGTAATATTTCATCACTTCTAGGCAACCTACTTTTGCTCTTATGGTGGATTTTAACAGTCCCCTGTCTGAGTTTCTGCAGAGAGGAGGAGCCTGTTTAATTACCTGGCTGGCCCTCCAATCAACTTCTCACCTGCAGAAGGCGAGGGTGGCCAATGGCTGTCAATTAGCTTCATGGCAGTTGAAGCCCTCAAGTGTCCAGTCATCATGCAGCCACAATTTTGAACCCACTGAGAAGTGGGTAGTGCAGAAAGCCTTCTCGGGCATCGGGCAGGAAAATGGGAGAGATGCCTTCTTTCATTCGCCCCTTTTCTCCCCACACCACATGGTGTGCCCATCCACTACCTCCCTTCTCCACCATCCCACCTACCCCTACCAATCCTATCCCTAAGGTCTGCCCTTCTGCTTTCCTCTCCCCCTCTCTTATCTTTCATTGAAGACCTCTCTGCCCACTAGTCTTCCCATCTCTCCTCCCAATCCCTCTGGTCTCACATTCTCCTCTTGTTACCACCAAAAGACCCCTATTAGTTTCCAGCAATCTGGCTCAGGGCTAATATTTTGGAGACCACTTGTAATCCCAGAAGTGACCACCACCTCCGGTGGCAGTTTTGCTGTGGCTGTGGAGCTATCAACCACTCAGATTGGCCAACAGCTCTCTGAAGAAGGGTTATACCAGTCTTGAAACATTAACTCTGCTTTCTCCCCATGGATGGGGAGGTGATGGCCTGGTGGTATTATTGCTGGACTGTTAATCTGGAGACCCAGGTAACATTCTGGGGATGCTAGTTCGAATCCCGCCACAGCAGATGGTGGAATTTGAATCCAATAAAGCATCTGGAATTAAGAATCTAATGATGATTGTGAGTCGATTGTCGAGAAAATCCCATCTGGTTCACTAATGTCCTTTAGGGAAGGAAACTGCATCCTTACCTGGTCTGGCCTACATGTGACTCCAGACCCAGAGCAACGTGGTTGACTCTGAACTGCCCTCTGGGCAATTAGTGATGGTCAATAAATGCTGCCCAGCCAGCGACACCCTTATCCCATGAATGAATAAAGGGGAAAAACGGGGATGCTGCTGGACCAGCTGAGTTTCTTCAGTAATTTCTGTTTTTATTTCAGATCTTCAGCATCTGCAGTTCTTTGTTTTATACTAATGGCTCACCAGCACTTTCTCAAGGGCTACGGAAATGAAAAAAAATGCTGGCCATATTAGTGACACAAAGGTCCTAGAACAATTACAAATTAATTTTCTTCAACATTAATGCCATGTCTTGAGTCTTGAAAGAAGAACTTACTATAGATTCAATCCAAAAACCAATAAAGATGTCAGCAATTCTCTGTTGGATATTAGGGCTCAGATTTTCCAATTAGGATTGGAAACCCCAGGTGGAACCTGACAGGGGCCTGTACGATGTGGACTATGGTGAGAAAAGTGGCAGAATCATGTGAGAAGTCCAGCAAAGCCTTTCTCAACGTCAGAGAACAGCCTGCTGCATCTTTAGATAAGTTTTGCTTGTCCAGGTGAGACTCTTGTTCATTTCATTTTCTAATTTCCCAAGTGAGCAATCAAGATGAGATGATGCGGAAAACAAATCATACCAAGGAAAATTGAGCTGGAAAGCAAGCTGGGTGGAAATTCAGCATTGGTGTACTGTAATCGACTTCACGCTACTAATGCCATCACAAATTTGAGTGAAATAACATCAGTCATGCTGCACTGAAACCAGAAAATTATAGCTGCCAGCAGTTTTGAAGTGTTTTTCAATCAGCAGCATAGAGCCACAATCCACTAATGTACAGATGAACTTAGATTTGCAGCAGGACACTCTTGGTGTGAGGCTCAATCTAGTGCTTCCAGGTGGACAGAAAAGAACCCATGGCACTTTCTTGAAGAAGAACATCTAAGTGCTCCCCTGGTTTCCTGGCAACACCATATCACTCAATCAGCATTATGAACAGATTACCCAATCATGACCATATTGCTGCTTGTGGGAGCTTGCTGTGCAGAAAGTAACTGTCATGTTTCCAGGATTACAGCAGTGATTATACATCAGAAAGGGCTTCTTTGGCTGCAGAGCTTTTTCAGATGTCCTGAAGTTGTGAGTGGTGCTACATCAGTGGAAGTCTTTTTATTAGTCATCAAAAGACTGTATTTAGGCAGATTAGAATGCAAGGCATTTTCAGTTCAACCATGGAGACTGCAGAGCTTTTGCCTGTGGCTGTCTTTTAGCCTTCAATGATGTACTGTCTTAATTAGACGTGTTCAATTTCTTTATCTCACTCAGTCTCATTTGTTGTGCAGTTGTAATTGAAATCTCATTTGTGCCTTATCGAATTTCACAAGGTGCTCAGTGTAGGCAATCAGAGTTACTCATTTGAAATGAATAAAATAAAAACCCACATTAAATGCCTTCAAGATAACTATCTAACCAATACCTTTAACTAGAAGAACTAGGTAATTAATTTTGCACTTTTGTTGGTTTTTACAGATGTTCCAGCAGCAAGACTGAGTTACTGAATACAAACTAACAGAATACATGAACATAGCCAGTAATCTCTGATGATGTCCATTGTGCTGTCTAAACTGACACCAGTTTTACAGATTACTATTGACTGAAAGAGACCTAAAGAGTTTTCACGTATGTACCTTTAATGACTTCACACTATCACGCAACAGTTTCGCAGCCACAGAGACATTGTTGAAATGTAACCAGGGTTATAATGTCAGACAAAACCGTAATCAGTTGGTATACAGGAAGTTCCTGCAGACAGCAATGTGGTGAATGACCAGGTAGTCTATTCTTGGTGGTATTGGTTTTGATGGGTACATATTGCCAAGATGCCAGGAGAATTCCCTTTTTCACAGTGCACTGAGATTGCCAATGTCTACCCAATAGGATAGACAGGGCCTTGGATTATCTAAATTAAAGCTCCTTCAGAAGTGGTGCATTGTTTCATTGCAGCACCTGATGTATCAGCCAAGGTTACATTCTCAGGCCCCCGAAAGGGCTCTGCACTATGGTCACCTGACTCCATTGGCTGGATGCTACCACTGAACTGGACTGATGCAAACTGTACTGCAACACGTATGATATAATTTGAAAAGAAGGACTTGATAATGGCAAGTGTTTAAAATGAAAAGATGTAGGATTGATTCAATACCCATGGAGCGTTGGATTTGTTTGTCGAGTTGTGGAATGTTTCTGGGGCATAGTCTATGGGGCATAGTCAAAACATTAGCGTTGTATCGTTGAAAGCTGACATCATAGGAAATACTTCTAGTACAAATTTGGAACATTTTCCTGCAAATGACAATTGATGCTAGATTAGTTGATACGTTGAAATGAGATTGATAGATTGTTATTGACAGGGGACTGAAGAATATGGGACAGGAGCTGGTTAATGGCTTAGTTTGCAGATCATGTTGAATGAGAGAAAAGGCTCAAAAGCTTGAATGCCCTCCTCCTGTTTCCGTTTTCCTGTAACAAGAAACAGCTGAGAGAGTTTTTTTTCCATTATCTGTTGTGGCATTTGTGATTCAGACTGAGCATCTGTTTGATTAAAAAATTGGATTTCCTGTTGTTTATGCACTCTTGGCTGAGCAAGGTTAAAAGCGGATGATTTTATTCATTAGATCAGTGTCAAATTAGCTCACTACTATGTAGTGTTAAATATTCAGTGACCCTAGTGCAACATTGATTCCATCTAGGTTTTGTCTGATTGATAATTTGTGAGCTTCAGACTGTTTAAACAGTTAGAAATTGGTGCATATTTAATGTGCTCCAGTTATTGCATTTAGACTTGTGTCTTTAACTTTGAGTGCAAAATGCTGATTTATTACATTCCCGCACTTGCTCCAATTTTTAGACATATTACTCATTGTAATGTTGGTCTACCAAGCAATATTACTCCATGGTGAACAGTGTTGAGGCTATTTACTCAAATTGTAACCTGAGACTAAACAGTGACCTGACTAGCAAGAACAAATTCTCAACAATAGGGAGCACAGAAAGAACAAACAAATAGATCAGCATTTGTACCTGTGGCACCTGAACTAACTCCCCAGAGGCCAGTATCCCATCACCAAGTCACCCTTTAGTTGCACATACGTAGTACTTAACGCTGGTCCAGCTCCCTCAGAGCCAGATCTCAGAGTGAACAGAACCTCTGACACTGCTGTTTGTATCTGTCAGCCAGGGCTCCCTGATTAGACCAGGGTAATAGCCCTAATCAGGGGACTCATATTCCATTAGGTCTACCTGGCTGACCTCATTGCAATCACTCCAGCATCAGAATTACAAATGTACATCAGGAATTAACGTGCTGGAGCTCAAACACAAGAATCAGAGCATGTTAATGACAGCTGCAGAATTTGTTCATGCCTCTACCCAGTGATACTTTCTGACAATGAATATTTTTCAAGGTCTTTTAATTTCTATTAGGCTACAGTCTCTCTAAATTAGTACCAATTTCTTGAGCTCACCAGTCTGCAGCAATATGGGAACCGGAGTAGGCCATTCAGCCCCTCGAGCCTGTTCCACCATTCAATGAGATCATGGCTGACCTGTGGCCTTACTGCATAAATCTGCCTTCAGGCCATATCCCTTAATACCTTTGCTTAACAAAAGAATTATCCATCTTAGTTTTAAAATTAACAGCTGTCATTTGTGGAAGAGAGTTCCAAACCTCTACCACCCTTGTATGTAAAAGAGCTTCCGAACATCTCTCCTGAATAGTCTGGCCCTAATTCACATATTATGCCCCTCAATCTAAAGTCCCTAATAAATGGAAATAGTTCACCTTTATCTACCGTGTATTTTCATGTTAACATCTTGAAGGCTTTGATCTTCAGTCCTCATAATCTAATTAAGCCTCAATTTCCCAACATTATAACAAGAGTATCCATTAGCACCATGAACGTGGTAAAATGTCTGAAGACACTTTTGGAGAATTAAGGAAAGTTTGACACCAAGCCACACAAGGAGATGTTAAGGCAAGTAACTGCCGGCTTGGTCAAAGAGTGAGGCTTGAATGCGCATTTTAGAGAGGGAGCAGCAACTATATCAACTAAAGTTGATTGCTCATTGTAAATGCTTGGCTAAGCCCCAAGAGTGGAAATGCACTTAGATGTCATCAAGCAATGTTTACATAGCTGCAGAGAAGTGGGAAAACTTTGCTTGATTGATATCTCCAATACCTTGTAATACCCTACTTTGTTTGAAGATTTTTACACTGCTTATCTGTTTATTTATACATGATTAAGAAGTCTGTGTGGACAAAGGCTTTGATGTTGATACTATGAAGGGGCGTGACTGTTTGACAGTTTTATGGGTAGACAAAAGGGTGCTGTATTTCACTCATAATATTAAACGGCGATTTATTATTGGTTGATGACCACGGTTCTTCCATGGTTTACTAATGCTCTGAGCTGCTGTGATCCATGTCTACTTATCGAAGGAGCCTCATTCCACTGAAGTTGCTGGAAGGATGGGTCTGTTTAACTAACTGAACGAACCGCTGGCAATGAAGTTGCTAAGGGCAGAGTGGTGACTACCCACACCAGTCAAAATTGCTGGCAGTGGAGCCCAACAAAGGGCTCTTGACTCAGTTTGACTTGGTGACAATCTGGGGCAATGTCTCATATCGTTATCACATTGGAGGAGAACAATATATGCTGGAAGTGTTTGGTGTCAGCTAAGGCCCAGATGCTTGCTATCTCCCTTCTGAGTAAGAGATTGTGTACTCAAAGTCTCCACTCAGGGAGTTGAGCCCGATCACATCAGTTGACATTCCAGTGCGTTACTGGGGGGAAGGGGTGTGGGGGTGCGGAGGAGTGCTGCACTGTCCCAGCTACCATGTTTCAGAGGAGACGTGAAGCCAAGAGCACGGCTATTCTTTGAAGCAGATGTGAAGGAACCCGATACATTATTTTGAAGAAGAGCAGGAGCATTCTCCCGGGTGAATATCCTTCTGTCAACATCACAAAAACAAAATACCTACTGTTTAGCACATTATCGTTTGTGGGAACTTACTGCATTTAGCTGCTGCTTTTTCTACAGTATAACAGGGACTACACTTCAGAAGTATTTAAAAGGGCATTATGATGTCCTGAGGTTGTGAAGGTGCTACATAAATATGTCTTTTTGAAGGCTTTGCTGTGGTATAGCAAGGGATGGGTGTGCACTGTTATAGCTCTATAATATTTTCTTCATATTTACCAACATTGCATGCTGAAGACAGTATTTATTCAGGTATGAATTCAGTCACCCATACATCCGACAGTGTTGGCTTAATAGGAAACCTTGGATGAAGGTCATGTTTTGCTTGCCACGGGAGTCTTCCTATTAAAAGGCATTTATTGCCTTTGTTTCCAGATGTCCTCCAAGTTAAATGAGAGGAATTTATCCACCTGCACATGAAATAAAATTGGAAAGCACAGTTTCAAGCATCTGCTGTCTGAGTATTTGAATTATTTGAGTCTATGACACTGTAGGATGGGGAGAAAGTGGTAATGTCACTGGATTAGAGATCCAGAACCACAGCTCATGTTCTGGGAACATGTGTTGGAATCCCACCATAACTGATAGTGAAATTTGTACTCGATAATAAACAAAAGTCTGGAATAACAAGTAACCACTGGTTGTTGCTAAAAACATACCAGGTTCACTAGTGTCCTCTAGGGAAGGAAACTGCCCTCCTTACCTGGTTGGGCCTAAGTGTGACTCCTGATCCACATTAATGTGGTTGCCTCTGGCAATTAGGGATGGGCAATAAATGCTGGCCTAGCCAGTGATACCCATGTCACATGAATGTATTACAAATATATATCCTTTCTGTGTGTATTTACTGCTAAATGAAATGATTGGGAGTTTTTTTTAACCAAGTCCTGTTTAGTCATCACCCTTTTGTTGCTGATTTACTTTCTAGCTGATGATATGCAAAGCCTCAATTTTTAAAATTCCCAACATTGTGTTTAAATCTGTCCATGGCTAGGTTTTGGTTCTTTCTTGTAAGTTCCCCCAACTACTGCAGCTCTTTGAAAAGTCTGAATTCATGCAAATTTTGATACTTTCTGCATCCACAATTTTCACCACCTTATTATTGATGGTTAATGCTGTGGAGACTCTAACTCTCATAATCCTCTTCTCCTCCATCTATCTCTTTCTCTTTCTCTTTCTCTCTCTCATTATCTACACGTTTAAGTCATTCCATTCAATTTTCATTTTTCTTCATGCTTATGGCCATTTGGAATTTTTATTTATATGATGCAGTGCCAAATTTAATTTGATAATGTGCCTGCAAAACGTTTTAGAGTCTTTTCACTAAATACTATATAAATAAGTGTTGCCAACATTGATTTGTTTCATGGAGAGATAGACTAGAAGTGGTAACACCATTGGCAAAACCCCAACCATCACATTTAGTAAGTATCTATAGTTGCTTGAAAAATGAGTTTGAAGGGACAAGATTTTGTTTGGTTGTGGGGTTAAGCGGTAGGTGTCCAAATCAGCCAGGATCACTACTGAAGGAAGCTTTTGTCTGCATCCTAGTTGTTCTATTTGTTGCAAGTGTCATTTCTTAGCCAATATCTTTAGAGATAGGAAAAGAAACAGTCATAGACAGGAGTTTACAT